ACCGACTTGCCACAGCCGCCTGGCCCTTGTGTTCACAGTCGGCAGCAAGCTTGGCGTTGACCTCCCGCTTTGCCTCGCTCACCCGAGGATCCTCAAGCCACCTCTGCGGCGACTTGGTGCAGATGTACTTGTCGCTCAGGTCCTCTGCGCAGGTTGGCGCAGCGCGGTGGCAGGCTTCCTCGTCAGACCAGTCGACGCGCTGCTCCTTCTTCCCTTGATCTGTCGGGGCTTCCTCTTGCCGCTGCTTTGCAGCTACATCTGGGACATCGGCCCACAAGAGAATGTGGGCGTGTGGATAGCCCCGCTTCTGCCACTCGATGCGGACGATGTAGTCCAGGATCTTGAAAGGTGGCCTCTCCTTCTTCATGCTGTGGGATTCTCCTGACCGGCCGACTTCTGGGGCTGCTTCCGCGCCTTCCTCATCATCGTCTGCTTGGTCCGGGCGATCTTGCTCGTCAGCATCATCGGCCTTGAATTGCACATCGCCATCCCCTCCTTGCAACCAGTGCAGAAGTTGCCGCAGGCCGTGCATGAATTGCCTTGCGACGATGCCCGGCATCGAGTTGCACAGCTGGTTTGCGGTCATCCCGTGCCACACGTAGTTCTCGTCGGTCATGTAGTGACGGAGGACCTCGGCTGCTTCCGCTTCAACATTGCGCTGGTCAGCTGTGGGCTCACGCTGTCTGAGGAGCTCCGCAGTGACGCAAGCAGCGAGGATATCAGGCTGCCGCGCGTGGCAGGTCAGTGTCAGGAAGAACTGTGGCTTGCCCAGCTGCTCGTACATGCTCATGGCTATGCCTTTCTTGGCGTACAAGTATGGCTGAGTGCCGGGGATGTCGCGCAAGGCGGTATAGATCTTTCGGCTGAAGTCCTCGTATCTGCTGCCGAACTGCGGGTGGACCTGCCCCTTCATCCGAACGTTGACGTTACCAGAAAGCCGCCTCCTCATCTGCTCTTCCAGCAACCACATCAAGTAAGCCGGGTCTTTCTCGAAGCGGCCGTCCTGCCCCAGTATCCTCTTGCGAGCATACTCCGAGAACTTCTTGTGGGCCCACTGATCGAAGCCACCTGTGCCATCTGGGAACAGATACGGGAAGAGGAGAGTGTCCAAGTTGTCGATGGTCTGCTTGGCTTTGCGGCGGAGCTCCTGCAGGTCAGCTAGGTCAGCTTTCGGGATGGCAGGATCCCGAGCCATCAGATAGGTCACCTCCACGTCCTCTTCCTTGCCCTCGTCTCCTGCTCCTCCAGCCGCCGATGCAGTTGGCAACTTGGCCAGAATGGCTTGCATGTTCTGCAAAGCCTTGTCCACTCCCGCGTTGCACTTGTATGCTGCGTGCTGCAGCTTCAATGCCCTCAAGCCAGCTTCCAAGCACTGCAGCCGTGCAGTTGAAGCCATCATGCCTTGCACCCCGTTGACATAGACCTCACCGTTCTCTCCAAGCTCTGCTCCATCTAGCACATGGCACAAGGCCGGCTCCTCCATGGGAACGCAGTACATCCTTCCCCACTGTGCGCTGGGCCCTCCTGACGGCAGCTTGTCAATGATGACTTGGTCCACGTGGGCGCTAGCCAGCAGCCGCTTCTCCAAGGTGCTGAGGCATCCCAAGTTTGCTGGGACGGGCGACAGTTCTGGCAGGGTGTACTTGGTTCGGCGCTCACGGCAGTTCTTGCAAGCGAATTGCTGCCGTGATGGTTGATCTCTGCTTCCGGTCAACTTGCAGAACCTGGCTGGCGTGAGGGCACGGCAAATCTCGCACACCCGCGAGAGGCCAAAGCGCCCCCAAGCTTTCATGTAGTTTGTGTACTTCTTGAGAACGTCGTCGGAAGTGAGGTTCTTCTCGTTGAGGAAAGGAGGCTGGCGGTTGCCAACTTGATCTGGCTCGAGGGTTGGTCGACCACCTTCACCAGGGCATGGACCTCGCCTGCCAGCTCCGGCTTCCTGCCGGGCATCCTCTCGGAGGCGCTTGGCAGCTTGAGCTTCAGCATCGGCAGGGCGCCCACCTTCACCAGGACATGGACCTCGCCTGCCAGCTCCGGCTTCCTGCCGGGCATCCTCTCGGAGGCGCTTGGCAGCTTGAGCTTCAGCATCGGCAGGGCGCCCACCTTCACCAGGACATGGACCTCGCTCGCCAGCTCCGGCTTCCTGCCGGGCATCCTCTCGGAGGCGCTTGGCAGCTTGAGCTTCAGCATCGGCAGGGCGACCTCCCTCGCCAGGACATGGACCTCGCTCGCCAGCTCCCGCTTCTTCGCGAGCCTGTTCTCGCCGGCGCTTGGCCACTTCAGCCTCAACGTCAGGAAGTGGACCTCGTTTTCCAGCGCCAGCTTCTCGTCGCGCCTCTTGTCGCGCCTCTTGTCGCATGCGCTTCGCAACTTGGGCTTCGTGCTTCTCAGCTGCTTTGCAAGCAGGGTTGGAGCACCATCCGCGGCCTCGGCCACTTCTCGTCCCACCGCAGCGCTCACACGCCGGCATGGTCACAAGGCGCAGTGAAGTGATCTTCGAATGATCGAAGGATTCATGATTTCATGAGGGCCAAGTTTGTTTGCTTACGTGTGGAGCCATGCTGCGTGTGTGCGTGTACGACTGTGTAGCAAGTTATACTTCCGCAGCATGTTTGTAGCGCTTCTTCTGCTTCAGTGGGGGAGTTGCGGCGGCGAAACGGCAGCGGGCAAAAGCGCTGCGCAGCTATGCTTGAAGCTATTCAATGCCGTACACAAAACAGATGCGAATTCAAGATTGCGTTCTTGCACCCAGAATGACAAACTCTGCAGCGGTGACAACCTGGGCGCACTGAGCAGCAGCTTGTTTTCCTGTCAAGCGCGGAGCAGGTAGTATGTCTTTATGGCTGCTGGGCCTCCTGCACTGTCATCTTGTCCCACAAGTCATCCGACAGGGCCACCGTGCCCAGTGGGGTTGCCTGCCCTTCCAAGACCGTGCACACTGCTTGGTTGCGGCTCTGCAGACGGCCTTGCGCTGCCGCCGCCATGGCAGCGGCTGTTGCAAGCTGTTCCATCTCCGGCAGGCTTGACAACCTGGCGATGCGCAACATCTGCGCGCCGGCCACCGTGGTGAATACGACGTCAATAGTATCTTGTTGCACAAATGTCAGGCTGCAGGTGATGACCAAGGGCGAGGGCACTTCACGGACATAGATCTTTCCAGCAGGATAGCTGACCCAAGCATCATGGTGCAGTTCTTCAGCGTCGAACACTGCAACATGAGGTTCTTCTGGATGCCACTGGGTAAATCGGCACTCCAGCGCATTCACGCCGCTGATGTAAAAGAAAGGTATATGCCAGCCAGGAGCTGCCTCCGTGGCAACGGCGAAGGCAGCACCGCCCAAGCCAATCATTGACCAGGAACTAGGATTGCCTTCCAAGCACCGGCTCCACTCGAGACGGCGGCTGCCCATCTTGCGGTTTCTGAACTTCGGCAGGGCTAAGCTAAGGAGCTTGCTGGATCATTTGGGCCAATGGCTTTTTAGCAGCTCCTCTTCCTGCGTTGAAGGTGTCCGCATGTTGGCAAAAATCTCGAACATGGCGGCCCGTCCTCTATGTCTTCAAGCTACAGGTTATTGTTGCAACAAGTCTCTTTACAGCACAGCGACAATTACAACAGTCGCCCTACACACTTGTTTGATTCCAGCCGAAGAACGTTTTCGTCTCGAACCTGCCCTTCACAAAATTGCAGGCAGTCCTTCTTCTTCGCCCCATGATAAACTGGTGCTCCAAGTCATCGTCCATGCACAGACAAAGGGTTCAATTCAATATTGTTATTTAAAAGAAAAAGCAAAGCCTTGCTAAGACTAGGCCACCCCATACCCGAATCACCTCGAGAATGGATCACCCCAACGACTGGGTCACCTCAGAGCTAGGTATGCCAGAACTGAGTCACCCCAGCGTTGGGTCACTCCAAAAGCTCGAGTCACTTCATGATTGGGTCGCCCAGCCTTGTCTGCAGCCGAAGGTGCCCAAGCGTTCTATTTGTCTTCAATGTCCTCGACTCAAACCAGCCCTGCACAAAGTTCTTGAACGAGCCCTCTAGGAAGTCCTCCTTCTTCGTCCCGCGAGAGACTGGCGCTCCAAGCCATCGTCCGTGTGCAGAAAAAGGATTCAGTTCAGTATACTTTTGAAATCCAAAAGAAAAAGCAAACCCTTGCTAAGACCAGCAGCCGAATTTGCGTCCATCAATCTATTTGTCTTCGAAGTCTTGGACTCGAACCAGCCCTTCACAAAGTCCAGGTTTTGAACGAGCCCTCCACAAAGTTCTGCTTCTTTGCCCCAATACACGAAATGCCCTCCAGGAGGCTTTTCTTCTTGGTCCTCAGGAAAAACAAGTTCACTTCAGGCTGGCTTGCTTGTCTGACTGCAGCCTAAGTCGCGCCATCACCGAGCCCTCCAGGTAGTCCTCCTTCTTTGTCCCCCGGATGAGTAAACTGCCCTCCAGGAAGTCCTCCTTCTTTGTCCCGGGATAAGAAAACTGGCCTTCCAGGAAGTCCTCCTTCTTTGTCCCCGGGATAAGTAAACTGGCACTCCAGGAAGTCCTCCTTCTTTGTCCCCGGGATAAGCAAACTGGCACTCCAGGAAGTCCTTCTTCTTTGTCCCCGGGATAAGCAAACTTGCCCTCCAGGAAGTCCTCCTTCTTTGTCCCCGGGATAAGCAAATTGGCCCTCCAAGAAGTCCTCCTTCTTTGTCCCCGGGATAAGCAGCAAACTGGCCCTCCAGGAAGTCCTCCTTTTTTTGTCCCCTGCATAAGCAAATTGGCCCTCCAGGAAGTCCTTTTTCTTTGTTTCCGGGAAAAGCAAACTGGCCCTCCAGGATGTCCTCCTTCTTTGTCTTCGGCCCTCCCGGAAATCCTCCTTTTGTGTCCCCGGCATAAGCAAACTGGCCTTCCAGGAAGTCCTCCTTCTTTGTCCCCGGGATAAGCAAATTGGCCCTCCAGGAAGTCCTCCTTCTTTGTCCCGGGACTAGCCCTCCAGGAAGTCCTCCTTCTTTGTCCCCAGATAAGCAAATTAGCCCTCCAGGAAGTCCTCCTTCCTTGTCCCCGGGATAAGCAAACTGGCCCTCCAGGAAGTCCTCCTTCTTTGTCCCGGGATAAGCAAACTGGCTCTCCAGGAAGTCCTCCTTCTTTGTCCCCGGGATAAGCAAACTGGCACTCCAGGAAGTCCTCCTTCTTTGTCCCCGAAATAAGCAAACTGGCCCTCCAGGAAGTCCGCCTTCTTTGTTCCCGGAACAAGCAAACTCTCCAGGAAGTCCTCCTTCTTTGTCCCTGGGATAAGCAAATTGGCCCTCCAGGAAGTCCTCCTTCTTTGTTCCCGGAATAAGCAAACTGGCCTTCCAGCCTCCTTCTTTGTCCCCGGGAAAAGCAAACTGGCCTTCCAGGAAGTCCTCCTTCTTTGTCCCGGGCATAAGCAAACTGGCCCTCCAGGAAGTCCTCCTTCTTTGTCCCCAGGATAAGCAAATTGGCCCTCCAGGAAGTCCTCCTTCTTTGTTCCCGGGATAAGCAAACTGGCCCTCCAGGAAGTCCTCCTTCTTTGTTGCCGGGAAAAGCAAACTGGCCTTCCAGGAAGTCCTCCTTCTTTGTTTCGGGCATAAGCAAACTGGCCCTCCAGGCAGTCCTCCTTCTTTGTCCCCGGAGTAAGCAAACTGGCCCTCCAGGAAGTCCTCCTTCTTTGTCCCCGACATAAGCAAAATGGCCCTCCAGGAAGTCCTCCTTCTTTGTCCCCGCGATAAGCAAACTGGCCCTCCAGCAAATCCTCCTTCTTTGTCCCCGGGATACGCAAACTGGTCTTCCAGAAAGTCCTCCTTTTTTGTCCCCGGGATAAGCAAACTGGCCCTCCAGGAAGTCCTCCTTCTTTGTCCCCGGGATAAGCAAACTTGCCTCCAGGAAGTCCTCCTTCTTTGTCCCCGGGATAAGCAAACTTGCCCTCCAGGAAGTCCTCCTTCTTTGTCCCCGCGATAAGCAAACTGGCCCTCCAGGAAGTCCTCCTTCTTTGTCGCTGGGATAAGCAAACTGGCCCTCCAGGAAATCCTCCTTCTTTGTCCCCGAGATAAGCAAACTGGCCTTCCAGAAAGTCCTCCTTCTTCGTCACTGGGATAAGCAAACTGGCCCTCCAGGAAGTCCTCCTTCTTTGTCCCCGAAATAAGCAAACTGGCCCTCCAGGAAGTCCGCCTTCTTTGTTCCCGGGATAAGCAAACTGGCCCTCCAGGTTTGTCCCCGGGATAAGCAAACTGGCCTTCCAGAAAGTCCTCCTTCTTTGTTCTCGGGATAAGCAAACTGGTCTTCCCTGGAAGTCCTCCTTCTTTGTCACCGGGATAAGCAAACTGGCCCTCCAGGAAGTCCTCCTTCTTTGTCCCCGGGATAAGCAAACTGGTCTTCCAGAAAGTCCTCCTTCTTTGTCCCCGAGATAAGCAAACTGGCCTTCCAGAAAGTCCTCCTTCTTTGTCCCCGAGATAAGCAAACTGGCCTTCCAGAACGTCCTCCTTCTTTGTCGCCGGGATAAGCAAACTGGCCCTCCAGGAAGTCCTCCTTCTTTGTCCCCAGGATCAGCAAATTGGCCCTCCAGGAAGTCCTCCTTCTTTGTTCTCGGGATAAGCAAACTGGCCCTCCAGGAAGTCCTCCTTCTTTGTCCCTGGGAGAAGCAAACTGGCCCTCCAGGAAGTCCGCCTTCTTTGTCCCCGGGATAAGCAAACTGGCCCTCCAGGAAGTCCTCCTTCTTTGTCCCCGGGATAAGCAAACTGGCCTTCCCAGAAAGTCCTCCTTCTTTGTCCCCGGGAGAAGCAAATTGGTCTTCCAGGAAGTTCTCCTTCTTTGTCACCGGGATAAGCAAACTGGCCCTCCAGGAAGTCCTCCTTCTTTGTCCCCGGGATAAGCAAACTGGTCTTCCAGAAAGTCCTCCTTCTTTGTCCCCGAGATAAGCAAACTGGCCTTCCAGAAAGTCCTCCTTCTTTGTCCCCGAGATAAGCAAACTGGCCTTCCAGAACGTCCTCCTTCTTTGTCGCCGGGATAAGCAAACTGGCCCTCCAGGAAGTCCTCCTTCTTTGTCCCCGGGATAAGCAAACTGGCCCTCCAGGAAGTCCTCCTTCTTTGTCCCCGACTTAAGCAAGCTGGCCCTCCAGGAAGTCCTCCTTCTTTGTCCCCGGGCTAAGCAACCTGGCCCACCAGGAAGTCCTCCTGCTTTGTTTCCGGGGTAAGCAGTGATAAGCAAGCTTGTCTTCCAGGAAGTCTTCCTTCTTTGATCCCGAGAGAATGTCCCGGAGAATCAAACTTGCCCGCCAGGAAGCCTGCAACTTTGCTGGAAACTTTCAACCGTGCAAAAGGTGCCTTCCAATAAAAGGAAGGAATAAGTTCAAGTTTACAGATTGGCTTGAGGGTTTAGGGTTTAGGGTTTAGGGTTTAGGGTTTAGGGTTTAGGGTTTAGGGTTTAGGGTTTAGGGTTTAGGGTTTAGGGTTTAGGGGTTTAGGGGTTTAGGGTTTAGGGTTTAGGGTTTAGGGTTTAGGGCATAGGGCTTAGGGCTTAGGGTTTAGGGTTTGGGGTTTAGGGTTTAGGGTTTAGGGTTTAGGGTTTAGGGTTTAGGGTTTAGGGTTTTCGCTGCGAGTGCGCTTCGACCCCCTCCATGAAGTGGTTGGGGGTCGGCGCATGGCTGCAATGCCCCCCCTCCCGCCCAAAATACAAACCTTAGACGGGTTTAGGGTTGTCTACCCCCCAACCCCCCTATCAAGGGGGGATATATGGCTTGGTAGAGCAGAATCCCCAAAATGAGCAACCGTCAGCAGTCTCGACTCGTTTCCACTCAGCAGTTCTTCGAAACCGTTTCAAGGCTGGACGTTTAGCCCTTTCAGGATTGGCTGCGGCAAAAGCGGCAGGCTGGACTCGATTCCACTCCGTGGTCCCTGGAAGACTTTCAAGCCCTTTCAGGATTGGCGACGGCAAAAGCAGCAGGCTCGACTCGAATCCACTCCGTGGTCTTAGCAAACTTTCAAAGCATGTTCAAACCCTTAATTTAAGCCTCCGGGCCTGTGTTTCTAAAGTCCCAAACCCTTAATTTAAGCCTCCGGGCCTTAATTTGAGGTTCCCCAACCCTTGATTTAAGTTTTAGGTTCTCAAGCCCTTAATTTACGCATCCGGGCCTTAAACGTGGGTTCCCAAACCCTTAATTTAAGCTTCCGACCCTTCATTTAGGTTCTTAAACCCTTATTTTAAGCCTCCGGGCTTTAATTTTAAATTCCGGGCCTTAATTTAAATTCCCAAACCCCTGAATTTTAAATTCCGGGCCGTGATTTTAATTCACAAACTCTGAATTTAAGCTTCCGGGCCTAAATTTTAGGTTCCCAAACCCTTAATTTACGCCTCCGGACCTTTATTTTAAGGTCCCAAACCCTTAATTTAAGCCTCCGGGCCCTAATTTTAGG